ACAATAATTGTTCTTCAACTAATCACTAATATTTATCTTTGTTTTAAATGTGTTGCCCTTTCTACAACTTGCTTGAGGCTCGCTTTTAATTGTTCGTTTGTTAGGTAATTTTTCAACTTCTTTATTTCGTTTATTGATTCCTCCTTTAGTTCACTACTAACACCGTCTTCTTTATCTCCAAATGTGTCAACTTCCTATATTTCTAACCACTCTTCTTATTCCAAACACACCACGGCCTTCTATATGTTCCACCTTTATTTCCAAATACCCACTTTCTTATATTCAACCGTACCACCTTTTTTCCAATAAGCTTCCGCCTTTCTTTACTGTGTTTCTTTTGATTTAATAATTGATGTTTCTTATTATTCGTTTCCAGGTAAAATTTATTTTCTGCTGCTTTCTAGTTTTCCACTAATGACACCTCTACTCCTTCAACGTACACCTTCTTTGATACCTTGTTGGTAAAATGAGCAAACCTTTTACTTATTGTCGTATTGTGATCTATGACTACATATTTATGTAATTTTTTATTATCGTTATTATCTATGACTTCATATTTATGCAATATAAACTCTAATCTGATACATCATTATAATTTTATATATTATCGCTTAATCTATGACTTCATATTTTATGCAATTTATACTCCGATCTGAAACATTTTATGATTTTACGATTCAAATATATGTTAGTATAATGCATAATTGAAGAGTATAATGTTCATGCAACATATAATTGAAACAATGTTCGTGTAATGCATGATCAAATGTTTGTGTAACTTATTATGTAAATTAGTCGCGTGACCGAGTTGGTTACAAAAAAAAGGGGCCTTTTTTGTTGAATCAAAAAAAATGGACCCCGTGAATCAAAAAAAATGGGTTTGCATTAAATTACATGAAAACACAATACATTTTATAGGACTTGGATCTTGAATTGAATTATGATAACAATACAAAATTAATTTGATTAGATGAACTTATTCGATAAATTCAATTCAGGATCTGATACAAGAACTAAGTTCTATAAAATGTATTTTATTTTCCAGTTCTTATTTATATTTCTATACTATTTTTTTATGCTTATTGTCCAAATTTCAATTTGGCTTGATCCAGAATTTTAAATTTCTAAAATAGGACAAATACTTTTTTTAGACCAGAACTGAATGCTTTATAAAATCATAAGTGTTTAAAATTGTTCAAACTGGGTCAATTATTTAAAAGTGTTATTTACAATCATTCAAACTGTACCAAATACTTCAAATTGCAATTATGAAATATTTTTTAAGATCATAAATAGTTAAAATTCTATTGAACTATGCTAATTAATTTCTATAGTAATAATTTTAATAAATTTAATTTGTATAAACTATACTTATATATAAAATAGTACATTTATTATGACTATTATTTAAATATAATTTTAATATCTTCAGAATTATGAAATTCTAAGATATTCATAGTTCCATCTTTTGACATTATGATAATTTGAGTCTGATCTTAAAGTATTCATAATGATGAGCAAAATAGACTTGCCAATTTTAATTGAATTTCTTCTTTGGTTAATCTTGGTGTTCTTTTTTTTACCTGGGTATTTTTATATTGCATTGGAGCTTAAGATTCATTTTGTATTGGGACTTGTAATTTTTTTTGAATTGGAGCTTGAGGATCTTCTTGGATCAGAACTTGAGTTTCTTCTTGATTTGGAACTTGAACAGAAATTTGAAATTCTTTTTGGGTTGGAACTTGAACAGAAATTTAAAATTTTTCTTGGATTGGAATTAGAACTTCAGATTCTTGAATTGCATTAATTAATATTCTAGTATTTTTTAGTTGTTGCTCATTATTAGGAACTTTGTAAGATCATAATCCATTAATTAATCGATGATCTGAAAATATCATTATTTTATGTTCATTTACACTGAGATCAGACAAAAGTTGAATATCATTCTTTTTTCTGAACAATTAGTAATATGTTGATCAGTGATATTGATTTTAGATGATTATATAATATCATTCATCATATTTGCTAATGTATGTCATCCAAGTCCAGATTTAAGAAACAAGTTCCCATCTTGAATTGCTTATAAAATTCTTATTAGTTGCAAATAAACTTTTCACATGCATTTGCAAGACACAAATTTACATAACTTTGAAGATCTTGTATAGGTTTAAATTCCTTGTTTGGCAAATCTGCAGAAATATGTATATGTCAGCTAGAAAATTTTCCATATTTATTTCAATCTTGAAATCCATTTTGATTGTTTTTCTCATGTCCTATTTTAAAAATCAAGCTTCCATCTAATTGAAAATCAAAGCAACTTAAGAGAAGTTGATAATGATTACCATCATGTTATCCTAGTAAGTATGCATTTCAGAAAAATGCTTTTTGTGTAAGTCGCATTGCTGCTTGGTCATCTGAGTTAAGATACAATAAAATCTGATGAATTTCTTCTTTTGTTAATCCTTTTGATTTATTAGTTTTACCATATTCTTGGTCTTGTAATTTTATACATTTTCTATTCATAACCCAGTATAAAATAGGAAATTGAAACTGATCATTAATGTTAACATTTTTAATTACTGAAGTTTCACACAGAAATCATTGAAGAGAGGCATAGGCTGATACAATTGATTCAATTTTATAAGGTTTTCCATCCTGTTACTTAATATCAGCAAAAAATTCATATAATTCATGTTCAAATTACTTTTTATCATTTAGAGTTTAGATATCATAAGAAATATTCTTTTTTTGATGATAGTTCTGCAATATTTGAACCCACTTTTGTGTACAAGCATCAGTATTTTGAATTTTTGATTTCTTTATATATCGCTGAATATTGTCTTTAGTTCTATTAATGTCTTCATATTTATTTGATGTATTTAATACAGTATTTGTTTCAACTAATTCATGAGCAGAAATAAAACTTGACATGATGAAAGTTATAAAATTGTAAAAAAAATTTTTTCTGATTGAATTTTTTTTTATATAAATTTAAACTATGTGAATTACGTCACTTTAATTAAAAAAAAATAGTATGGAAGTATAATAAGAACCTGGGAATAAATCAGTTATTGCCCACTTCGTGGGCAATAACATATACGTATTTCGTGTGATTTAAAGGATCGAGTCTAGGACCGTCTTTTTAGATCCTAGGATCGAACCTGACTGGATTCGCAATTTAACATCCCTAACGCTAATCACCGATTTATGCTAAGTAAAATACAAGGGTTATTGCACGTGTTATATATGCAGACTTTATACATTGCATCAAGCTGATCGAACATGCTTATTGTATAACTAAGCCGCATTTGTATTACTTATGCATAAAAGTTATTATTTTTAATAAACAATCTTGCGTCATAATTAATAAAGAGGCCGTTGAACAATTTATTAAGTAATCATTGATAATACAATGATTTGTTATGAAATTATCGTTTGCTTCTAATCCGGTTTTATTGGCCATAAATATATTATTATGTTTCTGCATGGCTTCTGCAATAAAATAATCATTCCGCTTATTCCAACTTGACGACACCTTATAAGGGTTGATATATTGTTATTTTTTATATTAAACAATAGTAATTCATAATTGAAAGCCATATTAGAAGATCGATCAAAATGAGTTAACATTACTTTTTTAATGCGGTTGATATTGGTAATACAGTTTACGTAAACAGGAGGAAACGTTGATGTTACACGATTGATTTCACACACGGTGTGAAACACATAAAAAAATTATTTTAAAATAATTTTTTTATGTGTTTCACACCGTGTGTAAAATCAATCGTGTAACATCAACGTTTCCTCCTGTTGTTTACGTATACAATATCGATAAGTAGAACGTATATTGGCTATTTGTAAATAAATACAAGTTATATCTTGTTCTTTTCTAATTCACTTATTAGTTACCTGGGTGATAGAATTTTCTAAATAAAAGGTGAAAAGGACTTAAAATCAAACTTTGCACATTTTCTATTTTTAAACAACTAGATAGCTGCGCGATGTCTTCGTGCAAAACAGGAACGTAAGTTGTGAACTAGAAAAAGAATTCAAGATCATTGGTACAATTAATACAATAAAAAGCATTAAATTAATAGTGATCTACTTACTATAAAATAGTTTTGTTGATTTTTCGCATTATTTTCATAATGCACCCGCCTTTCGAAGATGCATTTTGCCGAAAGCTCTTCTTATGACGTACCTAGTAGGCCACTTGTAAAAAAATTTATAAATTCGGAGAGAATATGTCGAAAGTACGTAAAATAATTACCAACTTTCAAAGGTGTAGTATTTTATAAGGGACGCTTTATTTTGTATGATCCCAAGACTATTTGATTCGTAAAAACCTCAAGAATATTTTTGTCAAGAAACATTATGTATTTCAACTGAAGTTTTAGGCAAAAAATTTTAAAATTGTAACTAAGGATGTTTTCAGCTACAATGGCTACGACCATTCATAATCGATTTTCTAAATGCTGAAATGATTTTTTATTTGAGTTATTAATTAAAGTTGTTCAGAATCATATTCTGTTCATCCCATCTTATAAGTGAAAAGAAAGACACCTTCTCTGAAATTCGGAAATTCAACCATTTCAACATTTAGAAAATCGATTATGAATGATCGTAGTCTAATTATATATATTAAGAAATTGCGTGCAATCTTCCTGATAATTTCAGAGATTATATATACATATGTTGGTATTTGGTAAATTTGATTAAAAGTTAAATTGTTATACAATAAAATTGCCTATAATAAGATATAAAAATATAATAGATATATAAAAAAATGTAATGTACTCAGTATGACCGGTAAAATATATATGCTTATATATATACAGTATTTCATATTGACATATACAGTATTATATATACGTAGCAATAAATATCTAATAAACATGCTCTAATCTATAATTTATTTAATATACTTATTTAAAAAATAATTGTAAATTATTTCAATACAATACTAGCAAATATTAAAAGATATTAGTCAAAATTTGGACATTCAACAGATTTGCTTACTAAAACAAGTTCAAAAGTTAATAAGTATAAAAAATAATACTTTAAAACTAATATGTTGATTGGGTAATATTCTTACCTGCAAATACTGGATTGGCATTTATTGGTTTAGGAAGATTTTGATAGTTCAAACGCCGACTTGTATAAATAGCTTGTTTATGCGTCTGGTAGTTGAGTCGTGTTGATATGACTTGATTTGAATTTTTGACTGACTCTTTAATTTCTTTAGCTTGATAAAAAAAATTATGCAATGAATTAGCTAATTCACTGGCAGTGGTCTATTTTGAGGTTCAGCGTCTAAGCATTTATTCATCAAATCCAAAAGTAGTTGAGGAACATCACATTTTATTTCGGGTCTATGACCTAAGAAAATTTTTCTTACTAAATGTTCATCATGCGGAATATCATAGTATGGAGGATATCCAGTAAAAACTTCTGACATGATTATTCCAAAAGAATAAATATCTGATTTTTGAGTGTACTCTTTTCCGCTCGTATATAATACTTCTGGAGCAATGTAAGGAATTACACCAAAAATCCCTTCAGTGCTTAAATCTTGAGACACTGGCTTACACAGTCCGAAATCAGTAATATAGGACTATACATATTTTCGTTAACTATATTTCCGGAATGGAAATCTTTATGCATTAAATTAGCTTTGTGGATTGCATTAAGCCCATCGGCAATGTAATATAAGATAGCAACTTTAAACTTCCAATTTAAATCATTATACTTGCTATCTAATAATTTTCTGAGACTTCCCTGTTTTGCGAATTTCATCACCATCATATAATTATCATCATCTGGATTCCTAGTTATTCCGTAAATTTTAATTGTTGAACGACCTCCATAATTATGTTGATTTTCAATCTAAATATTAATTAGGGTAAATGGAACTTGAATAAAATAACAAAATAATGATAATAAATTATATAATATGTACTTCATTTAAAAATTCTTGGTTTATATCTTTAGAATTATCAAGGACTTTTAAACAAACATTTGTTTGTACACTTCGTATCCATACATTCTTTTGGTTATCAAATCCGTAAATAAATCCATCAGTCCATACTGCCTTAAAAACAGTGCCGAATCCTCCTTTAGCAAGATACTTTATATTTGTAATTTTACTAAAAGGTATCCATTCGATAATGTCTTTAAATTTCTCCGCACTAAGTTGAGTTTGTTTAATGAATGCATCAATGTCGGGATTGCCACTTGTCCAATTACGAAATTCCTTTCGAAGTCTTAACATTGAATAAGTAAAATAATGCATTAAATGCTACGATTTAAAACAGCTAATACATACAATCTATCATGGGTTAATTGAAAATAAATTACTATTAGAATTATTCTTTGTGTATTGATTGTATAGTGATTTACTGTAATGCAAAAAAATTCTTACTCACTGTAGAGGTGACAAAAGTATGTGGATTAGTTAGAATTAACGTTCGTTAAAGTATTGATTTGTATCATGATTTACTGTAAAAAAAAGAAAAACTTACTAGCTGTAGAGGTAACAAAAGTATGTGGATTAGTTAGGAACGTTCGTTAGAGTATTTATTTGTATCATGATTTACTGTAACAAAAAAAAAAAAACTGTAAAGAACTTACAGACTATATAGATGACAAAAAATATGTGGATTAGTTAGAATTAACGTTCGTTAGAGTATTTATTTGTATCATGATTTACTGTAACAAAAAAAAATCTTACCCGCTGTAGAGGTGACAAAAGTATGTAGGTTAGTTAGAATTAACTTCGTTAGAGTATTTATTTATTTATAACATGATTTACTGTAACAAAAAAAAAAAAAAACAGTAAAGAAATTACGCGCTGTAGAGGTGACAAAGTATGTGGATTAGTTAGAATTAACGTTCGTTAGAGTATTTATTTGTATCATGATTTTACTTTAACAAAAAAAAAACAGTAAAGAACTTACGAGCTGCAGAGGTGATAAAAGTATGGGGTTAGTAATAAATTTAAAACCTAAAATTTGCAAGTGCACATTAATTACACTTACAATGTCTTAACTAACTCATAGGCTTTTGTTGCCCATTCGTCACCAGGCTTAATTTTCAATAATTTCTTCAAGTCAGCAATTGATTCATAATATTTTTTCATCACATAATAAATTTCTCCACGATATCTTAATGCTTTTATATTATCTGGTTCAATTTCTAGCAGTTTATTTAAAGTTTCAAGCGCTTTATCATATTCTCCCATAAGAAAAAATATTTGTCCTTGACTATCTTGCTTGTTTTCTAATGATTTTGTTGATTCACCTGTTAAATTGACAAGTATATTCCCATTTTCGCCCATAATAAAATGAACCTTTTTTTGATATTTCAATATTAATATATTACTTGACTTTTCACTAATGTCTTCATTGGTCATCGCTATTAATTGAGATAAACATGTAAACAAGGTTAAAATCTAAAAAAAGTTAAACCGATTAAATCCTTAGACAAGTTACCAGAATATTTGAACATTTCACGGCCAAAATTTACTTCTACGGACCCGCCTTGTGATCTAAATCCAACGCATGGATATATAATGCCTTTGAAATCATCAGGAAGATGGCATGCAATTCCTTAAAATATGTCATATATATTACTTCTTTTGCTTTGTGAAGTATAAAGCTTAATTTATAAAATGTTAAATTACCTAAGTTGACTCCATTTTTAGTATAAAATACCATCTTCTTCATGAAGTTTAAATAGCATCCAACAATATCACCAGTAGTATACCCAACTGGATATAATGAATCATACAATTCGCCACTTCCAGAGCAAAATGTATATCCATCATCACCATGGTAACCACATCCCCACAATTCGTTTTCCTCGTTTTCCTCATATTCTTGTCCTGAGGAATATTATGCATGACATTTGATATTAATTTATAATAATAGAAAATAGAATAAAATCTACTATTACCTGGCATAAGCATGTCGCATATATATATTGATTTTACATTTGAAACGTCTATTTCTTTATCGTTTTGCTTTGTACAATACCCAACTCCAATCATTCTATTAATAAATAAAATAAAAGGTTTATAGAAATATGGTAAGAATAAAGGTGTTATTATTAACATACCTATTTTTTCCTTTATCCGTAATTTTAATTTCAAAGTAAAATACCCCACACTCCAAAGGAATTGGATTATTTGCTCGAATTATAATAGCTTTATTATCATCAGGATCTTTAAAAGTTTTTTTAATAAATTAGTTGAACCATCAACGATTAACGCTCATCAATTCAGAATTTTGATATGTTTCGGTGCGTATTCATTATTCATCTTACCTGTAAAACTCACTTTAGATCCACTTGAATCTATGTTAATAAATGGCGATTTATTTTCAATCTCCCAAGCATTCGGTAAAACAATAGCATCGTATGGTGTTGGCAATTCTAAATCTTCCATTTAATTAAATTCCAGCGGTTCTTTAATAATTCGAACGATTTAACTGATAACAGGAATACAAGCATTTATATTAACCCACATCTCTAGAATACGTAGTACAGGCATTTATATATCGATCTGCACATCAGCCCATTTCTCTAGAAATGGTTTAAGTTTTTTTGTCAGTTCATAAATAAGATAGCTGCGCGACAAAGTCACGAGAAACCATGAACTGGAGACGTGAGGAGTATCGGTATTGCATTTAGTAAATGTATAGGTTGTCGCACTATTAGGCATGTGAAGTATGGTGGTGCAGCTTCCCAAAGGACAAATAAATTTTTAGGATCATATATAACATAAAAACAAACGTTTGTTTTGTCAAAGTTGTTTATATTGTCAAAAGTTATCCCAAGGATTCACCATCTTGTTAATTCTAACTTAAATACGAATGTTAGTCTTTATAGCAATGAGTTTTAAAGAATTTTGCATTACTTGAATGTGTGCCAGGTTTGTGGTGCAGCAAAAATTCTTTAAAGCTTGTTTATGTTGGGATTAGGGTCAAGTTTAGAAATTAGTAAGGAATAGTTTGTACAGTAAAATCGCTCGACAAAAACTTTTTTAGAGCACTAAAGGTGGTTACTTATGCTGATTTTTGAGAAGTATCAAATTTAATTTAGTTAGACGCAGTTTTTCTTGCGTACTTCCGAATAAACATTTATGCATTTATATTTATATTAACGGGTCTTTTGAAAAAGTACAATTGCGTACTAAATTAATACCCATTGATTATTATCATCGTAACTATAATATACAAATTAGTAGATATATTGTTAAAAACGATTAACATTGCTTTGATATTGTCACGGGGAAATGGGGCGAATCCAAGGATGGAGCAACTGCGACGAATTGTCGCTTCAAAATCGTCGACGTCGCGTAACGTTACTCTGAGGCAGTACGATTTGGCAATGGCTAAGGCGGCTCTCGAGTAAGTTACTGGGTAAGTATAGGGACTTTTCAAAGGAACGTTTATTTGTATTGCACTCTTTACACTTTTTATGATTTATAACTGTTTTTATTTATTATTAATTTATTAATAATTTTCTTTAAGTTACAGGAGTATGAGGCTGGGGGGTCATGTCCCATTTAATGTCAAAAACGGAGGGCTTTTATAACGAATTATCAGGGAAGTATGCTTGGGAAATTCTCTCTTTCTTTGCCTTAATGTTTCCTTTTTCTGTTAATTGTACAATTCCACCCTTTGACTCATGATTCTGTCGTTTAATTACCTTTTCTATTTTGTAGGTCCCGCTGATATAGTTACAGCTGTATAATCCAAAATGTCTTTGCAGATTTAAGGTTTTGTTATAAGTCCTTGAAAGTAAGTTATCATACCTTTTTCCTTGTTGCACATCATGATGGTTCTACTAAGTCTTTCTTCCTTTTTAGGTTTAGCAACAATTGTTACATGTGAGGCTTAGGTTTACAATTGTGGGTGACTTGTTCTAGATCTTGGGGTTTCTCTTGCATATAATAGAGAGAAATTGGGTTACATGATCACTAGTTTTGGGTCATGATCCAGTTTGTGATCCTAGTCATGTTTTCAGTCACATTTTCAATAATCATTACACAACAGCTTTAACTAGATTTCTCTTTAACAATTTCTTCTCTTTTAGTTTTTCATTTTTACATGAAAAATTGGATATGTGGTGTTTTGGTCTGGTTTTTATCTATACTATAAATGAACAACAAAACTAACTAAAATCAATAAACAAAATTATCTAATATGAAATCTTAATTAAACAAAAAAAACAACACATCTATGACTCAAGCAAAAAGAATACTTTATCTCTTGTTATATGCTCACAACCCCATGTATAGTTATTATATACAACCAATTTTTAAGAAAATAATAAGTATAAAATAAATATATATATATTATTATTAGATATTTTTTTTTTAAGACGATCTCTTTGGTCTTTTGACTTTTATTAATCACTTATTAGTATTATGGTTCAATGAACCACTACAGAAGAATTTACAATTGGCTACATGTTTAAGTTTTCTATATTACTTATTTAAGAAGTCTACTTGAAAGTTCTTCACCAATTGTCATACCTAACATCTCTGCTTGGGTGTTCTACTTTAAACCCTCTGAACCTATAATCTATATTAATTCATTGGGTCATACCCAGATGCTCAGATCATCATCTCAATTTTAAGACTAATTTATTTTCAAGGTAAACCTCTTAGAACCTTTTGTATCTATTTTTACAACTAACCTAGATATCACTATAGCAGAACCAATACTTGCAGTTAGGACTAATTATTAAACCATTATGTTTTTGTAAAGTTTATTTAGACCCTAGTATCTACTTTATAGCATAACTCTGGTATTTTAGTATATCTCTGTTTTTTCATTTGCCTTTTTACTAAACTTCCAATCCAGATAGTCTGCGTAGAACTACAACCAGTCTATTAGTATATCAGATCAGTCCAATATCCTTTTTCTCTAATTTATTCCATTAGCCTAGTTGGTGGTACCTTTGAGACTTCCAATACAGAGGTTCTTGTCTGTCTGACTATTATGACTGGATACTATGACCTTGGTATTCATTTCTCTAAGCTAGTTTTTATAATAAGACCATTGAAGATCTAGCTACTTCTTAACTTGGGTCTTCCCAAATGGATTTCTTATTACCTAATTTCAACAGATTTATATAGTTACAAGAATTTATCTAGTGTTTGCACTGCCCGATTTGTCAGTTTGCATTCCTTTGTATAATGTCATATTTATACAAATGCTTCATAACCTGCCAGTCATGTTGGTGTAACTGTTATTACAGATATTCTAATCTAATCAATTAGTAATAGTTGCTATAATATGAATATTAAATAGGTGATTATCTAAATTTTCATAGTTGATAGAATTTGAACACCCAACCTACCACTTGAAGGGTTAACAACCTGATCACTTTACTAGGTCACCATATCTCTATATTATTATTATATATATATATATATATATTTATATTTTTTATAATAGTATATATGATATTATATGAAGTAAGAGTCATATCTGTATAATTTTCTATGAAATCTTATAGACAGTCATAGGCTCTAAGCATACACTAATAGTTTAATAACATTTCATAGATATAGATTTAGAACATTACATCTTTTGTGCTCTATAGTTGATTTCTGAACTTGCTATTACCTATAAAGGCCTAGTACTTCAGTTGCTCCTTACCACCTGTAGATACAACTAACTATATCTAACTTGCTTGTAGTGAGTAATCCAAATGGGCTTCTATGTTCTACATTACTTAAATATTATTAAAGAAGTTTTCACACTCTTTTTATATATTATTTATTGCTTATTATTCTTATTATTATAATATCTCTTTAATAGGTTTACATTAAAAAGATCTACTGATTACTTTCTCTTCTATTATCTGAAGCTTATAGACATTATTTAGTAATTTGATATGAATAAATATGGACTTTTACATTTCAGAACAAAATTTTCACTATGAGAGTATTTCTTTGCAGCACTTTCTAATAAAACTTTGTTACCAATTTCAAACCTGTGACTCAATTGGTGGTATTAATTATTATAAGCATTTTGTTTCATTTGATTTTTGTGAGTTATTCTAATAGTTTGGTTTTTGATTTTTGGTACTTTATCAATTAGGATAAAAGCCCTTTGTATGATAGTTCCTTTTAATAATCTATTACTTTGATTTGGATAGATGAATTGTCTGGTTTCTCATCCATAAACAAGAAAGAAAGGAGATATTTTTATCATTAAATTTTAGATGATATGATAAGCAAATAATATTAAAAGAATTAATAAGTCCTAATTGGTGATATTTTTTACTAACTTTCTAATAGACTCACAAAGAGTCTTATTAAAGCATTTAACAAGACTATTGATGCAGAAGTAATATAAAGTAAAGAAACTTTGTTTAATTTTAAGTTTTTCAATAAAGTCTTTATGACTTCATTTCTAAAATAGGTTCTTCTATTAATTAAAATTTAGTTAGAACATTCATAGTAACAAACAATGTCATTATACAAAAACTCTACAATGGTTTGAATATCTGCTTTCAGAACTGCCTATGCTTTGAACGATCAAATCATAAAATTAGTAGCTACAAGAATGTAACAATTTATTTTTAGAATATGTGGAAGGGGGCCAACAAAATCTATTTTAATTTTGTATAACAAAGCCAAAACAAATATCAAGTATAGTGGGTCTTGGCTTTGGGATCAAGTTCATCATTAGCAGAGTTTATATGTCTGAATATACTTATATATTTCTTTATATATTTGTAATCAAAAATAGGTTCTTTGAAATTTTTTAAACATTGTATCTTTATGAAAATATTTGTTCAACAGATGGATATGTATTAGACATAAAATGAGATCTATCTTGTACTTTTGAAGTACTCATAATATTCTTTTCAGCTTTTTTTTTTTTTTTATATAGAGCTCTTTCTTTACTTTAAAAAATTAGCTTTTGTTCTTGATTCAGTATTGGTAGTTTTAATCAAGAATAGAAAACAGATATTTGGTTTCAATATATCAGCAGAGATGGTTATAATATGTTAGATCCATTACTATTACTTTTGCCAAGACATTGATAACCTGGTCTGGATTTGTTTAACAAACCAGATTTATATTTCTCTCTTTTTTTTTTTATAATTATTATTAACAGTTACTTCTTTTTTATTTGTCATTCTTATACTAATCCTTTCTCTTCTTTTTTTTCTTTTAGGCTTGTCTAGAGTTAAATGACAGTTTCTTTCAAGTTTTTAGAAATTCATAACAATGCATTTACATTAGTATGTTTTTAGCCTTTCTAATAAATAATTTTGAAGTTATATAATTATATTCTTAATACTTATCTTGCTCTGTAACCTGTAAGTTCAAAGGTTTGAAGCCACTTCAATATGGTGTAGTTACTTACAATTATAAATAGGTCAAGATCAAAGTAGTAACAGAAGTGCCTGATTGATTATTAAACAGCCAAGCATTTTAATTTAGTAATAGTGTAATTACATTTAGCTTTTGTTAATCTTCAACTAGCATATATAATAACATATTCCTTCTTATAGTCATTCTTTTAAACAAAAATAGCACCCAATTCAAATTCAGAAACATCAGTATAAATAATAAAGATTTTGTTAAAATTTAGGTGCCTTAATATTAGAGCAGAAATTAAATATTTCTTTAATTTTTCAAATATGACTTTCTGTTTTTGTTTTATTTATAACTAATGTTTTTTCTCAATAGGTAATAAAGAGGGCAGATAATAAGGGTAAACTTAGATATAAACTTTTTGTAATACAAAAACAGATCTATAAAGTCATGGAGTTGACAGAAGGTTTGAGGTACAAGAAAATTCTTGACCTTTTCTACATTTTCTTTATCAGAATAAATATCAATACAGCCAACTATATGATTCAAGAACTGCAGGTAGAACTTATAAAAAGAATATTTATTTATATTTAATTTAAAACTAATACTTTTTACTTTACTAAAAACAGCATCAATGTGGGTTATATAATTTTTAAATGTTCACAAGTAAATAATAATCTTATTTAAGTAAACAACAACAAATTCTTTGATATACTTAGCTAGAACATAATTTATCAAATACTAAAATGTTATGAGTGCATTGCACAAGCCAAAAAGCATGATCTGAAATTTATATATTCTAAAGCTTGCAATAAACACAGTTTTTTCCTAGTTACCTTCTTTAATTCAGACTTGCTAGTAGCCTGACATCAGATTTAGGATAGAAAACTAAGACACATTTTCAAAAACTTTCAGTAAATTATCTGTTTAGAGAAGTGAAAAGGCATTCTTTTTTGTTACCAAATTTACTTTCTAGAAGTCTATACACAGACAAAATTTGCTATCTTTTTTTTTGATAATTATGATCAGAGAGGCCCAAGGGCTTTGGATTCTTTAATTAAACTTCTTTTCTTTAATTGTTCAATTTTCTTTCTTATAAAGATCCTGATACTAGGATGGCATAATATAGTGTTTGCTTGATTGAGGCTACAAATCTGGTATCAACTTTATGAACTAAATGCTTATTTGTTTCAAATTACTCATGTTTATTACAAAGACTTATGTTTTTCAGATAAGTTGAATATAAACTTTCTCTTGTTATTCAAGAATTGGGTTCTTGGTATTAATGTTTTTTTGAATTTTTTTTTAAAGTCTCTTTCTTAAAGTCTTTTTCTTTAGTAAAAGTTCTTCAATATCAGCTAGATAAATGGTAGAGTAAAAATGGTTTTTTCAAAGATTATTATACAGTTTGTCACTTAGGACTTCTTCAGTAAAATAGCCTTCTGCTTCTTTCAAGTACTTATCTTCATATTCAAATTCATCAAACATTTTTTCAGATTCATTTCTATTATTAAATTTGAGCAGAAAAAGGTTACTATTGTGAGAAATTAGAATTTTGGCAAGTTGTTCTATATAATTAATAAAGAGCTTTTGCTTATTAAAGTATAAGTAGGCACATGCTTTTTTGAACCAGTTCAACTGAGAAGCAACATGTTGTTGGTTGATTTAATGAGATAAAAGGTAGTAGGAACCATTATACTGGCAAGAACTAATTTTAACTTCTTGATTCTTCCCAAAGCTTGAGTCATGTTCTGTTATCAGTTATGATAACAGTAATAAAGAATTCATTGATCTGAAGCTTTAGCTTGTCTATGATCTTTTTTAACATTATACTTACAGTGGTATTGGAGTCAAGAATAGCAATAATAAAATTATTTTTTATTCTTATATAACAGTAGGCAGTGGTGGGTTTACCTCTTTCTTTCTTTGGATGATATTTGTTTTTATCAGTTTGAGAAATGGTGTTGAAATCTCTTCTAGAAGAAACAGCCTGTTTAGGACTAGAACTAGATTTCTTCATTAATTCAAATATTTTAATAATTGGCTAACAGAGATATTTGCTTTTACATTATAGAGTTAGTTTATTAATCTTTAATAGACCCTTTTTCTGATAAGTCTTCAGATATGTAAAATTGTCTAGGATAAGAATTATAAGGTCAGAATCTCTATTTATAGGATTTGCAATAGGGACCTCAGCTACAGGCAAATTATTTTTTAGCCTTTTTTCAACTTGTAACTCTGAGTTTTTATTATAACTTTTGATTCTCTGTAATAAATATAGTTGGTAGCAAGCTTTAGAGGTTATGAATACTTCTATTTCAACTTTAGAAATGTATCCTTTATGTTTTTTTAAGTTCAATAAAGTTTACATCTTATGGTCTTAGCATAATTCAGATTAAAGTTTGAAATCGGGTTTATTTTTCTTATGTTAAATCTGATTAAAACCAGTTTTAACATAAGAAAAATAAAACTGATTCCAAACACTAATTCAGATTAAGAGTTGTTTTGGGTTCTTTGGGCCAGATTTCTTTTTTTACTTATACATTCTCAGACTATGTGTTCAACTTTTTTACAGTTGTAGCAAGTAAACTAGGAGCTAGCACTGTTGCTATTATTACTATAAATAGAGTGAGATCTTGGCATATTATTTTTGACTTGAGTATAAGGGTGATAGTAAGTTTCTTATAATTGGTGGTCATTGCTTACATGGATTTATTTAAATCATCTATATTACTTTCTAAATGCTTTCTTTCATTCTTTTTATATTTTTTTTCACTATAATATTCTTCAGCTTTGATTTTTCAAACTTCTTCTACTGCTTGCTCTAAGGTTGGTAGTTTGAAAATACTTAACTATAAAGTAATTTTTGTCTTTAAGCCTTTCAAAAACATATACACTACATATAATTGAGGCAGTCAATTTTCTGAATCAACATACCAAAGGAGTTTTTGAAATTTGTAAAAATACATAGCAACATATTTATTTTCTTTTTAAGCTAAGGTGTTAAGGTCTACCTGCCAATTGTGTCAATATTCAGAAATAGTAAAATAATTTATGAAAAAAGAAATAAAGCTTAAGTCTAATGCATATTCATTATTCTAATATTTGAGGTCTTCTTTTACTCATTGTACCAATTGGCAATGATATTACAAAGGTAACTAGAGATTATTTTGATTTTCTGCTCAAGGAACCAATTGTTGGCATTGGCAGCATAGTCAAAGGTTTTAATCTATTTGAAGGAATTTTCTTTCTCTTTTTCTTTAAAAATCTTCACAAAGATCAGGTTAGTTTTCTTTTCAAATAGGTAGGCAGTAGTAGCAACTTCAGTAATAGCTTCTCAAAAAGTGGTAGCAATTTCTCTTAAGACAGCTTGATGGAGGTTTGGTTTTGGTAGAAGTAGATGTTGTTTTTATAAATATAATAATACTGTTCTATAGATGTTTGACCTCTTTTACTGTTGTAATCAAATGGGTAGTTATTATTTTAATCTTTGTTATAATTTATTTTGGTAACTAATTTTTATTGTAACTGAAGTATTTCTCTTTTCTATCTTTTAGGTGCAGTACTTTGGCCAGATCAACTTAATTTTTTCTATTTTATTTCTTTTTTTTCACTTTTTTTTATATCTTTCTTTTTTTCTTTTTAGTTCTTATTTATTTTTATTTTTTTATTGAAAGAATGATAAGAACATCATTATTCTATTACTCCATGTTGCATATCTTACAATTATTACTAAATTGTAAGAAGTGAATTTGGGGCTACTTGGTTCCTTATGGTTAAAGCATAACAAACATAACACAAAGACACAAACAACTGAAAGAATAATATAAAAGATTTTGTCTAAGAACCAAAGATCCTACTGCTACTAAGATCCTAATTTTAAGGTATATCTTTATTAATATTCTATTTTTACTTAATTGTCTTTTTACTAACAGAAATTATATGACTTTTATATAAAAGAAATAAAGCAGAGGCTTGATACAGTCTAACTAAATTAAGTATCAGAAGGAATTTACAAGCTGCAATGAAATATTTATATAACTATAATATAAAGCTGTAATTCAATTGTTTTCAATGAGCTTTGCCTTAAGCTAAACTTAATATAGCATTTTATTAAATGCTCTTTTATATATGAGATCTTGTGGCTTAGCTTCAGTTTGGGATCTTGGTTCAGAAGAATTTGTTTTAAGACCTTGATTCAGATTATAGTCATATTTCCTATATGCCTATAGCTAAATTACATTTTGCCTCTTATAATATATATTGTTAAGCCAACAATATGATTCAAATAAGTTGTATAAGTGGTAGGCCACAATAGTATTTAAAACATCAGACAAAAAAATTTCATAGATCATAAAACTGATATTTATAAGATTTCTCGATATAATACTGATTACTATAATGTAATATATCAATATTAAATTAATTGTTAATTAAAATATTATTTATATTTCAAAAATGTGATTAATCTATTATTCTTTGCTTCACAAAGAATTGTATATGTTTTTGATATAGCTGTCACCTCCTTTATAGCATTTTTTCTATACCAAAATCTCAATAAAAACAACTCATAGTTGTTTTATCCTAACTTTAAATTTAAAAAAAAGACTTTAAATTGAAGCAAATTTTTTATAAATTATAAGATTTATTATTATTTTATTATATATAAATTTATAACCAAAATTTATTATGATTTTGGCTCTCTTATGTATTTTAAAGTTTTTGCTTCCTATCAAATTATTCACAGTTATTGATTATTTTTTGTAAAGCATTAAAATTTTTATCAATAGAATTAATCTATTGTTAAGCATTTAGTGATTAGGTGTTTTTATTAATAATATTCTTAATACAATCAAGTAATAAATAAAGTTGATTCTTTTTATACTATATGTTTTTACTAATATCTAAAAATAAGTTATTTTTATTTTTATTAGTTTGAGACAAAGCATAATATTAAAATAGCATATTGTTTTGAAGTAGCATGCTATCTTAAAATAACATATTATCTTAAAGTAATATATTGTTTTGGGATAGTATAGTGTCTTGAGATTGCATATTATCTTGGAATTGCATATTATTTTAAGATTGCAAATTGTTTTGAAGCAATATGTTAACTTGGAACAATATTTTGTTTTGAAGTACTATATCATCTTAAGGTAATAATTCAAAAGCATTATCTGAATTATTTTCATTTAATATATTATTTTAACTAAAATATTCAATTGCAGATTTATTTAAATATGCATTAAAAAGATTTTCTGATAGGTCTTTAAACAAGTTATTGTATTATTTGATAAATTGTAAAAAAGGATAAAATTTCTAATGATAAATCTAAAAAAAAATTTTAAATAACTATTAAATACATAATATAAAAAATTAATAAGAAAATATACTATTTTAAAAAATTTAACAGAAATTGAATTTATTTGCTAAACTAAGTATTTATAAATAAAAAATCTTCTAAACAAAAAATAAAAACATAAACATAACTATTTGTTTATATCAATAATTCTTTGAGAATTGAAGTGAATTATTTTTTTTTTGAGTTGATACTATTTTGTTTTAAGATTACTTTGCTAATGTGTTATAATCCTATTATTTTATAATTACTGCAGCTGATTTACTTGTTTAGGTCTAACTTATATAACAATAATGTATACTACCAAGTTCAAACATGCATGATTATATTTTGAAATATAATTATATTTAATTACTTTTTAATAATTTTTAATTATTATAAAAGACTATAGAATATTAATATGCTCTGTTACTAAATATGCCTATAACTTTCATCATTCTAGATAATATTATTATTCTACAAGTAAGCTCACACATAAGATAAATTATTAACTTTACAATAATTATATTGTTTCTTAATATAATAATGCTAAATTTCTTGTGAATTAAACAATTTAGATATAGTTTTATTAGTATTAATAGATATACAAAAAAATAAATTTAAATTAGATGAAGAATATACTTCTAATAATCTTTTTTATAAAAGATTTAATAATTATTATTTTATTTCTATTACTATTTAATGAAAGCTTACTAAAAATATTTAAATCAGTTGTCAAGTTGGATCAATTTTTGAACAAATAGTATATACATCATATGCATTATATTGAATAAATAATTCTATAACTAGAAAGTTTTTTTTTATAGTTCAAAAGACATGCCAATAACAAAATTAAATTTATGCATAAGGCTATATAATTTGAGCTGATATAATTTAAGCAAAATCTTTGTCAATTAAAAAGGTTTGAATACAATCAATATCATGTTCTTTTACTAAATAAAACTAATTTAAAAGAATTGTTAAACATTTTTCTTAAACAGGTTTTAAAAATAGGTAGGTTAAAGGAAATCTGATCTAATCAATAATTGTAAGAATGATATAAAGCTCATACTTTAATTAGTTAGTATTATATACAACATTAACAACAATTATAGTAATCTGTTTTTTTGAAAATATGTTAAATAAAAGAGTTAAAAATATAATTATTATAAGTTGCTAAATAATTAGTTTAAAAGTAATTTGTTATAAAAAATATTGTATTGTAAATTCTATTTAATCTTTAGTCATCTTATATTTGTTAAGCTCTAACTGTTTACACTAGTAATAAATTTGTTGTTTTGTAATATAAATATATCTATTAAGACCTAATATTTTCATATTATTATAAATTTGAGATATAGTAAGAAGTTTATTTTGCTAAATAAATTCTTTAATTTCAGAAAAAATAGTAATTAATCAAGATTATAGATATGACAAGTAGTAAACATAAATATAAGCTATCTTATAAGATTATTTTGTAATAATAAGAACTAATTCTTTACATTTATATTAAGATTGGTAAGATTTAGTATTTCTTTGTTTATTAATATTTTCTATAGGGGTGTGGCGACTTAGTGAAGTGGATAAGTTGTCAACCCCCCAAGTAGTAGGTTGTGAGTTTAAAACCCACCGACGGCGAAAATTTGAATAATCACTTATATAATATATAGATGGTATTACGG